TCCACCATTTTCCAGAGCCCCTTTGCAGGTAGGATTTCCAATTGTGGAATGGGTTCCACTGATATATTATAGTGATATATAACTTTATAGTTATAACAGATTATATATTACCACAGATATTTAGTATATATCCTATATATACCTTTATAGTAGTGTATACTCTATACTAGATAAACTACTATACCTCTGATATATACCTCTATGTTCAGTATCAGAGAGTAATCATATTGATCATAGTACACTACACACACTAGTATATATGTACCCACCATATACACACTATGTATTATTAGATACACCACTATATACACACTATGATATTAGTACACACTACATAACAACTATGTATATTAGTAACACCACTACATACACACTATGTAAATAGTACACACTACACACTATTGTATATAGTCACACTATATTATATACACACTATGTATATAGTACACACTATATACACACTATGTATATAGTACACACTATATACACACTATGTAGTATACACACTACATGTACACTATGTAGTATACACACTACATGTACACTATGTATGTAGTATACACACTACATGTACACTATGTATGTAGTATACACACTATATGTACACTATGTAGTATACACACTATATATACTATGTATATAGTATACACACTATATATGTACTATGTATATAGTATACACACTATATATATACTATATATAGTATATAGTAATCAGCTTCCTCAGGTTGAAACATCTAGATATATTGAAAACACTGGATAGTCTGCGAACTCCTCTTCCTTAGAGGATGTGTATTATCTTTAGTATTAAAATAACTCTTCTAAGTCCTGAGAAGCACCTCAGAACACTGCATTCATGCATTCACATGTTTGCTAGGCAGAATAGTACCCATCCTGCAAGACATCACATCCTAATGCCCAGAACTTGTGAATGTCTTAGGTTACATAGCAAAGGGAAATTAAGATTGCTAACCTTAAAACAGGGAGATTATCTTGTATTATCTGCATGGGTCTAATATAATTAGAAAGAACCTTTAAAG